GCTCCCCAGCTCCGGGGCTCGCGGGGGTCGCAGCCCCCGCGGCGGGCAGGCGGCCCGGCCCCTCCGTTCCCCCGGGGCTGCCCTGCATGGCGGGGGCCATGTCGCGATAGTCGGGCGATACCGGAGGTCACGTGGTGCCCACTCACCGCTCCGCGACCGCCGCTGCGCCCCGCGTCCCGGCGGCCCCGCTGGCCCCGCCCCCTCTCCCCCCATTGGCCGCCCGCCAGCGGGCACGCCCCCTGTCAGCGGGGCCACACCCCCTTCCCCCAGGCCTGGCTCCTCATTGGCCCGGCCGCCTCCGCCCTCGCCTCGCTATTGGCTCAATCAAATGTCACGCATTCCCGAGGCCACGCCCCCTCCCTCCTCGCATGAGGAGGCGTGGCCGTCTGACGTCACGGCCGAGCCTCCCGCTGCCATTGGCGGCTCCGCGGGCGCTGACGGGACGGGGGCGGAGCCAAGGAGAGGGGCGGGGTCGGGTGATCTCACGTGACGTTCGCTGGCCCCGCCCCGTTCCGGCGGCGCGGGGCGCGGTCCTCCCGCCCGGCAGGGGGCGCCCTTTGCCCGCCATGACGGCGCTCTCTGGGCCTCCAGAGCGCTCTATGGCCCCCGCCCCGCCGGGGTCCCCCCACTCCGCGGGCGGGCGCTCTGCGGCCCCTTCGCCCCCCTCAGGGGAAGGAGCTGGAACCTCCCTGCCCTGCAGGAGGGTGCGGGCGCCTACCCCCGCCCTCTAAGAAGCGTCCTACGGCCTCTCAGCACCTTTAGGAGGACATTCCCCCCTGACACTGGAGTGCGGGCGTGCGGAGCCCCCGAAACGCTCCTCCCTCACAGGAAGTCCCCCCAAAACCCCTTACCCTTGTGCGGGGCGCTCCTGAGACTACAACTCCCGTCGTTCATCGCGCCGCTGCGCAGGCGCAGCTTCTCCCCCCAACCTCGAGCTGCTGCCATGGCAACTGCAGAAGAGCCCCTTCGTTCTGCGCATGCGCACCAGCGCCGAGCTGCGGCGGAGAGGGCGGCGCGCGGCCATTGCGAGGCGCTGATTGGTTCAAACTCGCAGGCCCCGCCCAGCTGCAGCAGGTGCGGCGCGCTGATTGGCGCGCTGGCGCCGGCCACGCCCCCAGCGGCACCGCCCCCCCCGCAGTCGGGGCGCGGCCGCCGCCCCGCACGGACGGGCTCGCTCCGCGCTCCGCCATGGCCGACTCCGCCGCGCAGTCCTCGCTCGTCTCCTCCAGCTCCTCTGCCGCCTCCCTCGCCTCCTCCTCCTCCTCCTCCACGCGGGCCGGGGGCTGCGTGGGCGGCAGCTCCATGTCGTGCGCCGGTAAGGGCCGGGCGGGGCCTGAGGGGGTGAGGCCCCGGCGGGGGCGTGAGGGGAAGGAGCCCTGGGGCGTTGGGTGTGAGGCAGGAACGGGGCGGGAGGGGCAGGACGGGGGGGAAAGGCCTCGGGGG